CCAAGCATACCGTATTCTCAATAAAGTCACGGTATAATATCCATGCATACCGTATTCTCAATAAAGTCACGGTATAATATCCATGCATACCGTACTTTCTAATAAAGCCACTATATTTGCATTATAAACAGTACAGAAATAAATATAATTAAATTCATATTTTCTGTTTGCATGATTCGTCCAAGATAACATTTGAGGTTTTTATGAATAATAAGCTGTCAGAAACAGCTCAGATATTGAATTCAATAAAGTTTGCCGAAGCTTTTGCTCTCAAAGATAAGACTCTAACTATTAACTTTGGCTTCGTAGACATTTCTTAGAAGTCATATAATCTCTGATAAACTGTCTCTGATATAAAAAATGCGGTATTCAGAAATTGTGTCTATAAGTCTTCAGAGTATACCAGCTGCACACACGAAATCGTCATAACAATTGAAGAATATCCTTTTGTCGTTTTGATATTAACTGTACAGAAACTATGGCGTTTATGGAGTGCTTCTGGCACTGAAATAAGTCTCTGCCAAACATTCACGGAAATGTTAGGTCCAGACGATTAAATTCAGCCTCATATATGAACATCTTATAGCGCAAACTCTGTACAGATTAACTTTCAACACATGGCAGAAGACAGAAAAGCCATTGCAGCCGCAGAATTTAAATTATCATCGTCAGATTTAACTACTGAAATATTTCCAACTACTGAATACTACTGCTAAATCAGTTATTTGCAAGTAACTTATCAACGCAAACTCTTGGCAAAACGTAAATCCGTACACTTGATCCCAGTGAAACTGTCGACCGGCAGTAGAGAACACGGACCAATATCTGCCATACTTAGCGAGAAACCCGCTATGGGCCGTGACCCGCAGTGGTCCCTTTACCCCCATGTTACCCTATGCATTATCTAGAAGTTTGAGATTATCATTACGAGATAAATTTAAAATATATACGAGATAAATACAGATAATACATTACGAGATAAATAGTAATATAAATAAATTTTAAACTACTAAAAGTACGAGATTATCATTCAATATCCAGTATGAAATCTGGCGACATACAAGCAGGCAGTATAGGCTGCCTAAGCCATAAAAAACGACAGAAATACAATTTATCATCTTTTTAATTGCAGAAGGTAAGATAAATCGTCCAAGATCGAATTTAGATAAGATATTTTGGTTATAACCTCAGAGTATTTTTCGTCCATTGGTAGCCACCTCGCCCGAAGTGCTCGTCGCTGATTGTCTGGCATCTACCAGGTATATTGTCACACGTTCTCCGTCAGCTTGAAGTCCTGATATTGGACTAGTCGTCAGAGGCTCCCGCAAATCTGAAAAATAAAAAAGAAGTCCTGATGTAAGAAGCTCCGCATTCGCTATCGGGCTTATCCTGCATGGACAAATTTTCAATAGCCACTTTATTTAAATCTAGCCAGGTAGGAAACAATGGAAAGGGAAGTAACTCAGTCTTCGTTTACCTCCTTTCTCTTCTTGTAAAACTCCGGGATAAAATTCTGCTCATCAATACAAATGAAAACACAAATTCGAGGATTTATCTAACTGAAAATCTTAACGGGCAATAAACTAACAAACATCATGTATTACATACTTTTCGGCTCAAACCAATTTGATGGTGACAAATACAAATCCCTAGGAACTTACGCGAATGATGTACCTTAGTCTTTAAATTCGAAAGTGTTCGGGCGGGAAAACTTAAGGCTCTGATTGAGAACCGCGAGCCCTTAAGCAGGCTTGGCTGAATCCTTATAGGATTCTATCACTACGCATAATCATTATAACTCCGCTCGTAAACGAAATATCAATCTGAATTTTTCAAGTTTATTCAGCTATTTATTCATCATTTCACTACAGTGACGGAAAATTGGTAAATTTTGTATAGCATCAGTTATGATAGAGGAATAGGCCGTACATCGATGTTCACTATAAAATGCGACTTACCTAAATTTGTGAGACATAAAGAAGTAGTACTATTTATTCTCTATTGATCTGTATTAAAGACATACCAGAAACAACCATAATTTTGTAGAGGTTTTCTAACAAAAGAATTTTTCATTCCAACACACCCCCAAAATGAGAAGCATGTAGTGGATTTAAAATCCACTGGCAATTTAACAGGGACAATTTTCCTCTAACAGAGGCCAAGCTGAGAGTTTCGCTCTGATTCAAAGTACCCACAAAGTTGGTGCCGCAGTCTGATCTGATAATCTCGCAGGGCCCTCTAATGGCTAAAAACTCTTGAAGGCATTAACAGAAGTCGAGGTATCTAAAGAAGATAACATTTCGAGATGCACAGCCCTCACGGTAATTCAGCCATCTGCCGAGTCTCTGAAGTTGCTTTGAGTTTCTGGCACCTTAAACAAGCCTTAGTGAAGTGACACACCTGCTTTGCTCCTCGTTCAAGAAAGAATCCAGCATTTCTAATAGCGTTGGATAGCTAGCGATGGTCGGACATTAGCTGGTAGAACGTAACGGCAGTTACTGAGGTAGTGGGAGTTTGTAATGTACGCGAGAACAGTACTGGCGCTGGCGGCCAGTAAAACTTACAAATACTGACCGCCAGTATTTGGCGTGCTCTTCCCAGCCCCACCAGACAACATACACATCTCATCCTACTCAGACGACATCACAATTACATCAACACACACCTATGCAAACAACATGCTCCACACAAGTACAACCTTGCATCACTCAGCAAGAGGGCTCGGCAATAGAGTTCACCACTGCTATTGCTTGAAATTTCGCACACCTCAAAAATAGGCCCTTTACCAAAATTATTTGGGCAGAAATAAAAATATTTCGTAATTCACATGTTCCCCTCATGATGACCAAAATATTAGAGTGCATGAATAAAAGAGCCTCTCTCACCTGAACGAACGAAATCTTTACAAGATAAATGACTTTTCGGAGATTGCAGCTCCTTTAAGAAAAAAAATTAAGCAGAAGAACACAGATCTGTGCAAAGAGAGGAATTTACAACGGACAATCAATGAAATCTCCGCCGGAACTGACCAGGCAAGAGAACTTTGGACAATTCGCGCCAATGACTCAAAAATTTCTACCGCACCAACAAAAAATAAGAATTAATTTTTGGAAATAAATGCTATTGCTCGTAGCAGTCATTTTGAGAGCCTGGGACAGCAAAACCAACTTTATCGTAACTAAAGTTTATCGTGAACTAAACTGCCCAGTGGTTAAAGTTCAGAGTACCAAGTTTGACGCACTAGAGAGGCGCGGGTTCGATCCCAGCTCTGTGCGCCAGTTTCTGGTCAGAATCGGCAAGGAGGCCGGGCGGTTAAGCAAAGCAGAATCGTAGCAGCGAGTTGCGAGTTCCTCAAAATGCTGTGAATGTTCTGCGATGTTAGGAATCGGCGACAGGCCTACGGCCTAATAAACACTGAAACCGCTATTATTATTATTATTAAATGCTACTTATAAAAGTAAGTGTGCTCAGGCATAATGAGGAACTAAGTCAACTACAGGTTTTGAAAAAATAAATTCAGTATAAAAAAGTCCTAAGACATCCTTCAGCACTGAGAAGCAAATAAGAAAAAATTCGTGCCCTTCCACTAGAAGCACGCAGGTCTCCCGAGCACCTAACGACAGCTGAGCTTTGTGTCCAGAAGTGTCATTTGTGCGGCATTTGATTGATGCCTTGTTTTGCATCGTTGCAACGACGCTCAAAAATCATATTCCGATCAAAAGCATTCTAAAGATTTTCAATTGAAACTTTTTTCAAAATCATTAGTTCTTAACCGTTTATATTACGCATTATGAACGACTCTCATAGTTGCTTGTCATTTATCATATACTGTATATCATATTACTTTCTGTGTGATTAATTTCCTCTCCTTATTAACGTTTATTGCAATAGGTCTGATGTATATGGTCAAAGCATAGCAGGAATTTGAGCAATATTCATTGAACTTCTACTTAATTAAATGTAGCGACCAGGAAATTTAACGTAATTTTGTCGACCGCACACACGTGAAGCTAGTTGTCATAGTCGCCACTGAATCTGCGACTGAATAGTGCTAGGGACTAGAACACGAGAAGGTCACGACCAATTTGACGGTCATGGACTTTAATTCATAATTTCTTTGAAATTGCGACTTCACTGCAATGAAGTGAAAAACTGAGCTGAAGAAAATTCGTGAACGTATTTATAGGATTAAGTGATAGTCTTCAGAATTGAAGGACATATTAGTGGTTGTATTGAAGTTAGAAGGACCAAATTACATGATATCTCATGGGTCTATCCATTGACCCCTCAATAAAATCACAAGGAAGACGTTTTCACATACAATGAGTCCAATAAATTTATAAAAGAAGAAAACATGTGTAAAAGATTGCAATAAGCAAAAGATCCGAGTAGCTTATAGCAAGCATTTGCTGGTTGAAGTTTGCAATTTTGTATAAAATTATTGTTCACGTAATTGGATCGTAATTGAAGCTTGAGTATCGCGTCCCGGGAATTAATTCCTGGTAACTAAATTATAAATTAATTTTGTATTTTTGAAATTTGATGGGAGTTTACAGTCAAGAAAATCGAAGTGCGTGAAGATCCCTGTAGATGTTCCAGATAATTCAAGATCCTCTGATCAATGATCAAGCATCGCCGTTGCATCATATAGCTTCGTCACATGCAGTGCATTACAGGTCACGTCGTTTGAGCTTGGCATAATCATTATAAATAGAAAAATGTATGTACTCAGTAGCGCACAAGGTTTCGTCGTGATAAGTAGTGTGTCTTAGAGCAGGTAAGCTCTACAAATGTGACGCCGTGCAGTCGCTCGTTTAATGTAAGTAACTATTCATCCAATGAATGCAAACGCTTTTGAATTTTATGGTTCATCTTGTGGATAAAATTGTTGTGTCAGTGAATTCCTGAATCATCAAGAACTACGATCCATTTTCAATCAACCTAGCCGACTCATACCGCGCTTACGAAATAAAGTTGCTTTCGTCACAGCTGTGACTGGAATGACTTATCTGTACCAGAGTAAGTTGAGGTTAGTTGTCAGTTTCAAGAGTTTAGCGTGTAATAATACGATAAATTACTTTAATTTTTTTTATTCTAACCTCAGCGTCGAATGTCGAATAATTTTATGACTGGTCTGATATGTCGATTGATTGGAAACTACCTTCGACATAATCCTGGCCTATAAGAAGAAGATCAAAGAAGGTGCCGAGTGTTTAGTTCCCCAATTGTTGCAGTCCTAGACGATCTAGTGCAAAACTGTGTAATTTTAAATCAATTCACTCTCCTGGCTCATGGGAACATTTTTACCCATGCAAGGCCTTTAAAACGTTTCACAAGTCAACTTACAGGAAATAGGTGTTACAGCTGAAGGAGCACTGATCCAAGTAGTAATTATAAGAGAGCTGAAGCTTCTCAAAATATCAATGGAGTGAGATATTGAATCTTTAATTTGGCCAGATGTCGGTAAATGTTTTTTTAGATGAATAAACTAGGCGTGTTTAATTTATATCGAAATTATTTGCTTTTTTTCAGTGTTTTGAAGAAGTAAAATTGGTTCGTTGAAAAATAAAGAGGTTCGTTGTATAAAGTGGGATTTTCAACTGTGAGAAAACTCGAACCAGATAACCCTGTTTCGATCAAATAAATGTGTTCTCGCATATATGTAGTGACTAGCAGAAAATGAATAACGGTGGATATCCTCCTAATAAATACTTCCCCATGCTGTGCGATCAATCATCGTCGTATCCTCCTCGACTTCCTTATCCCTCCGGGCCTCCTTATTCATCCCAGCCTCCTTATCCCTCCGGGCCTCCTTATCCCTCCCAGCCTCCTTATCCCTCCGAGCCTCCTTATCCCTCCGGGCCTCCTTATCCCTCCCAGCCTCCTTATCCCTCCGGGCCTCCTTATCCCTCCGGGCCTCCTTATCCCTCCCAGCCTCCACCTGGCATCTTATCTTTTCCAGCTCCCCCTCTGCAGAGTATTCCAAACCTGGGGCCTGCTACCCCAATCCACAACAATTCCCCATGTACACTCCACACCCACAACAATCTAACTTCATTTCACCTGCGATTCCTCAACAAAGTTTCCCACTAAACCAGCACCAAGCTACAGTTCCTCCGCCCTACCCTAATTTTCCTCCTCACGACTCGATGTTTGTCTCAAGTAGACACGCGCCTCTGCCGTCAAGACCACCTTCACCAACTGTCCTGCAACCCATCATTGGTTTTGACTCTTCGATTCTGAGTGAGCAAATAAATAAGGAATTTTACTCGGTGCGTCATTATACGCTTGCCCTATAAGGTGGTTGCAGGATTATTTCCGTCATCCAACACCAGCGCAGGTTGCCTATCAGCCAACATTGAAATCTCTATCCATAGAATTATTGAGCAGTATGATCCAAGAAGAAAATATATGTATAGTTTTATAGCGAAGATCCAAATATTTGTTTTCTTATACCCCCAAACACTTTTATTTTTTTCCTCAAGTAGGGAGGCGATGAGATTTACCTATGTGCCTGTGCTTTATAAGCATAAAAGCATCCTTCTAAGTTTGTTTTTTCCGGGTTTGATTTGCCCAGGAATTCTCTCGGGTCTTGTTTCTTTGATAAGAGATGGTAGGTGGTGAAGAGGAAATAGGTTTGAGTTTAGCATCTTCATTCACATAGTGTCAATGTTTATTTATTACCTTTCTCACTTATGATTTTATTTACCAGTGTTGTACTACGTTTTAAAGACAAGCAAGCGCTCTAAGGGTATATTTTAAACTTTATTCGTTTTTAAAACTTTCTTACGTTGCTCCAGGAACAGTTCTCTGCTATATTCCCGTTGCCTTAAATATTTATAAAATGTTAGCACTGTTTTTATGAAATCTGGGACGTTGTTACAGTTCCTCTTATGCCTTAAAATTTCCCCCTTTCTGAAACCTCTCAAAAAGAAGCTTTGAGAGGCGTTTATATGTACCGAAATGTTTCGGTCTGTTGAAAAAAGGTTTTTGTGTCAAGCATGCGAGTCTTTCAATGTTTTCACCCATGCATAGCGTGAGATCCACGAAATTCAGCTCCTGGCTGCTCATTTTCACAATGAACTTGATTGATTTATGGATTTAATTCAGGTCCCCGAGAAATGAATGAAATTCAAGTTTACTTACTTCACTCACGATCCGAATTTCATCTCTATATCTCGTGTACAGAATGAGTCCTGGTATCCTATCAAGAAAACGGATCTCCTACGAGTTTATAAAAATTTCGGAATTTCCGGCGAATAGATCCCAGAGATATATCTTATAGAATGTGGCATGTTTCGTGAGGTTGCTTACTTAATACATGTAAAGCAAAGGCCCGGTTGTAAATCGGATGGCCTCGACACTTGAGCAAAAACTAAAAGTGTTTAGAGGTAAAAGTAACCCAATATTTGTATCTTCACCAAAAAAAATATACTTGTATTTTCTTATAGGGTCATACTGCTCAAAATTCTAAAGAATATTTTGAACGAACAGCTACCAGTTTCTTGGTGTGTGCTCTCTTACAAACCAAAATGAGAAAAGTTATCCAGCAAGCGACTTGGCTGGATTGTTTATTCGTTCAGTTATTCTTTAATTTTTCCCGAGATCGTCAGTCTCGATAATTTTATCAACATGAAATTTTAAGCTAATATTTTAAATTGTATCCACTTTACCATTGATATGTACCTACTATTGTCATTTCCAAAATTCAATTTCAAGTGCTGTAAATCTTTCACCAGCAAGCGTCGCAATCTATAAAAATGTCATTCGGAAACCTGCTTTTTGATCTCCCGGCGCCAGCAAGAAATTTGGTTCGACTCATTGAAAAAACGAACAAGAAGATTATTAATAAAAAGCCTGCTCTGGTCTTCAATCAAACTTACATAAAATAGAAGCTTCTGCCGAACTACACCAATATATATAACCGTACATGAGGTTTGTTTTAAGTGCATTGAGAGCAAATAGTATGTCTGGTATCGTTAACTGAATTATTATTCTAGAGTCACATTTTAGCCAATCTTCAGCCAGCCATTTTATCTGTCACGCAAAGCCTTTCATCGCCGACTTATTTTCACGGTTGGGACGTCAGCGAGGACATCGCAGTCTGACAGCGTCGTGTGGAACGGCGTGCACCAGCTCACCGCCCGGGGCGTCCTGAGTTCGTTGATGCTGGATAGCGATAGTAGCGATGAAAGCGATGATAGTTGGGAATCTGTCGATAGCGACGATAGCGATGACAGCGACGATAAAAAAATCAACGAGATCCCTAAAGGGCAGACGTATTCCGTAACTACCCTTGGACCATACCAAGATGAGTCCGCAAAAATTTTATCTTTGCTGAGGTCCCACATTCCAAGCTGTAACCCCATCACCATCACTAAAATCCATAACCCTTACCTAAAAAAAGCATTTTATAACAACAAGGCTAAACTAGAGAATCGATTCCCGGATGTCCAGTACAAGGATGAGCGGCTCTTCCACGGGACAGACTCCGCCAACATTAAACCAATTCTAGAAGATAATTTTGATTGGAGACTTCATGGAACTAATGTTGGACAACTTTATGGACAGGGCGCGTATTTCTCCAACAAGTATGTTGATTTCTGTCGTTTGGTGTTACACCAGAATTTTTAGAATTCAAACCATTTCTAATGAAATTAGTCTTTATATAAGACGAATGTCATCAAAACCACACTTCTTGAGGTCCAGAGAACCATGATGTCATAAATTTTCAAAACCTCTGCACTGCTCTGGCTCGAGTCTGGGCGTATAGATCATAGTTCCTTCAAATAACATAGAACTTTTGTGCTCAGTTTGTAACAATACATATGTGAACTCCTGCAAATTTTTAGTGATCGAGCCTGATACTCGATAAAATGTTCCTGCATATGATGATATGAAGAATAACCTCTGTTTGATTTGATCTTACTATTTGCAATGTTTCGTATCTAATTATACTTTTAAATTAGCATTATTCGCGAATGATTGATGTGTAAAGTTTCATATGCCTTTAAGGATCTAATTAGAAATTAATTCTATGACAACAGCGCCGCAATGTCTCGCCAGTACGGTAATGCCATCTTCATCTGCAAGGTCCTGGTGGGCCTCACCGCGCTTGGCGACAAGAAAACTGACAGACCTCCTAAAGACAAGTTCGTCCCTCCCACGTAGCGGCGAACAAGACCTTATATTGACGATCTTAGCGTTAAATTTAGTATCATGAGCGCGAAGGCATGTAAGATACTCAACTGATGTGTACCATCGCAAATCATGTGTGTGGTGATGGTATGCAGGATACACTTCTGATGTTTGCCTAAAATAAGACTCTGTTTTTTACAGATCCAACCGTCCTACTGACACCACGGTTGACAATCCGGCCAAACCCACTATATATTCGTCAAGTATGATGAGCAACACTACTACCCTGAGTACTACGCACTATTTTGAGGTAGAAACTGTTTACTATTGTTTACTTTAAATACCTTTTATTTGCATTTTATGTATTTGTATGTATGTCTTTAATTCTGATTGTTCATAATGTATGTATGTTCTGATAATGTATGTTCAGTTCAAAATTTATTAGGTAATTCTTACGTTTATTTCGGAAGGCATATGTCCTGTTCATTCTCTAACATGTTTTCCTTCGCTAGAATCAACTCACACTCACGTGTTACTTATGTACGCAGACGTGCGTCGATGCAGAACTTGGATGTATAATTCCAGAGTAGTTGCTGCCATATATCCTTACAAAGTAACATTGTAGTGGACAATCATTCGATAGTTAAAAGTTAGACTTTTTCATTATCAAGTTGCTCTATTAAACTAATTTTTCTTAACTTATGCCCTCCTCTGAGCACGAATCAAAGAATTTGTAAATTATGAGTAACCTGTCTTTATGGAATTAAGTATTGAGTTTAGTATTAGAATAGAGGATGAGTGAGCTTGAGCCGTAACAGAGGACAGACGTGTGCGTTCTGCCACGGAATGTAGAGAGGCAGAGGCGGAGAAAAGAAGGCGGCCAGATAGCGGCCGCCTCCAGGAATATGGATAGGAGGAGGCTGAAACATCTAAAATAGAAAATAGAAGACGCTGAACGACAGTTGCAGGACTCACACGAAGGTGAACAAGTTGCAGAGGCACGTGCAGTGGCTGCAATTTGCGAGAATACCAAATATTTCTACAAATATGCCCAGTCAAGGGCCAAAATCAGAGCATCAGTGGGGCCTCAAAAGAAATAACGATGTCCTTATTGGAAACGACCAGGGCATGTGCGAACTGCTAGGAGCGTAGTTTGAAAAAGTATTCAGCAAACCTCGATACTCAAGACAGGAGAACGAAATTGAACGAGTCATTCAAAAACTACCAGGGGGCGGGTGCTGATGAATATTGAGTTTGAAACACCGGATCTAGAGAGGAGTATCCAAGAATTATCGGCTTAATCGGCTCCCCGGCTAGATGGGGTCCCTGCAGTGTTACTGAAAAAATGTGTCGGAGCACTAAAAGTCCCTCTGACTTTTCTCTGGAAAACATCATTGAGAGAAGGAAACGTTCCTAGTTACCTAAAGTAAGGGCTAATAACCCCAATCTACAAAGGATGTGCGAGAGACAAACCCCAAAGTTACAGGCCGGTTGTTGGCCAGGAGGTTGTTGCAGTACATGAAGGAAGCTGACATTTTCAACAGAAGGCAATACGGTTTCAGACGGAATCACTCCTGTTTGTCTCAGTTACTAGAGAATCACCACCAAATCCATCCATACTGGAAGAGGAGGCCGGCGCGGCAGTGTTGTACTTGGACTTTGCGAAAGCGTTCGATAAATTTGACCATAGAGTGCTCTTCAGAAAATTAAGGCTACTGAGGGTTGTAGGCGAATTTTTTGCATGGATCCACAGCTTCCTAACAGAAAGACTACAAGCTGTCGTTGTTGGAATCTCGAGATCGAGTGAGGCTAGGGTGAGGAGCTGAGTAACACAGGGAACGGTACTTCGCAAAATCCTCTTCCTCATCCACATCGCCAACATAGACATGACGCCCCTGCATCGTCATTCGCAGACAACACCAGGATACTAATGACCATCATGGACAGGACGGACTTCGGGAGGTTACAAGAAGACCTTTCTGCATTATATGACTGGGCCCAAGCGAACAACATGCAGTTCAACGGCACCAAATGTGAGGTTCTGAGATACAGAGGTACCGGAATAGCTGGTATGGAGTACCGCTACCTGGCACCTGACAACTCAGAAATCGGACCGAAGCGACTCGTTCGCTATCTAGGAGTGTTGATGAATACTCAGGTCAAGTTTGGTGATCAAATGGGGGAAATAACCGCAAGAGGTAGGCGACAGATTTGGTGGATCTGGCGGACGTTCAGAAAAAGAGAAGCGGAACCGATGATCACACTCTTCAGAGCCCTTTTAATACCAATTCTTGAATACTGCTGCCAAATCTAGACGCCGTTCACACTCGGCGCAGTGCGGCACCTGGAAGGTGTCCAGCGATCCTTCAATTCCAGAATCAGAGGGATGAAAGAGTTAGACTACTGGGAGAGGTTGGAGCGCCTGGGTCTGTACTCACAAGAGAAGTATTTCATTCTGTACACATGGTATGATAATCGGAATGGCACCAAACTTCGAAAGCCAGACCTTCATGATTGAGACATATCACAACGAGAGAAGGGGGAGACTGCAAGATCCCTCACTACGTAACTGATCTGCGGTCAGATTTCAATCCCTGCGGGAAGGATCGCTTTCTGCGGAAGGGACGAGGCTGTTTAACGTCCCATCAAAAGGTCTACGATAAGGTGAGTTTACCCTCGAGCCCTTCAAGAGACGACTGGACATGTTCCTGGGCATAATCCCTGATCAACTGCCCCTGCACCACTACTGACGGCGAGTAGCAAGCAACAGCATCGTGCATCAGCAGCCCCAAATGGGGGCGGATGAACGATAGTCAAAGAAGGCAATCCATCGTGGTCTGGGACTGCTACGTCGGAAACAAGTACTAAGGATACCAAGGATTTAACTGCATCAGGTCGTTAGAACTGCAAATTGTAAAGGAACTCCCCATCATGAATCGAGAAACTCAAGTTCTTTTTTTAATTTGGGCCGCACTCCATACCCTTAGCGTAGCTGAGATAGGTTCAACTTCTTAAAAAAACATCACAAATATTTTTCACTCGAATACATTTTGGGTTTCTGAGCCTGGCCAAAAATAGCATGCATGGGAACTGTTCTTCCCAACCGCCATCTGGCTGCCATCGCTGGGCAATATATATAGGTTCCATTGCTTCCATGCCTGTAATTATAGAATTTATGCGTAAAGAATTATTTATTCATACAACATGTTGTTACACTTTTTACTTCTTTTCGTACCTAACGTGTCTATGCTTGAATTTCAGAGAACAACCCAAAACGCGGCAGTCAGGAACTCTGTTCACTGCGACTACGTCCCGCCTCTTGATCCAGCGTACCAGGGGTCGGGTCAGCTTGATGCTCAGCCTAAATACGAACCCACGGTCATCCTTCAAGCCCTAAATCAGTTTCAAGTTTATTCGTATATCAATCTAAAAACTATAACAAATTTTATAAATTCTTCTAAATAATAAAAACTGAGGCAATAGGAATTGTACATTTCATGGGCAACACTTTATAGATTTTTATCTTCTCATGTTTATTCACAACGCTGACTGCGCTAACGATGGATTCCGTGATGATATACACCTTCCTAATTTCCAATAATCTATTGTTATCCTATTTGTGGTCTTTCCTTTGTGGCATAATTGTGCATTTTAAATATGTTCGTTCATTGAGTTAATCATTAGGTGGGCGTTTAGAATTCGATGCATCTTTAGTAGTCGATGCGCCTTTAGGTGCTCAACCGTTTAGGGTAAATTCATTTAGGACAAAGTTTATCGAGTTAATAGTATATAGAGTTTATATTCTTATTAAATTTTAATTTTAATGAGAAGTAATTAAGTGGTCTCAATTGAACGGAGCCAACAAACGTCTTATTTTTCTAAAAGTTGTAGGCTTATCACTTTAAATTAATTAAATTTCATTTCAACGTGCCAAGCTGCTACTCATCCTATTTCATTTTTTTTCTTAAACATTCTCCTACAATTCTGATTTCTCTTTTAATTCTTAAATATTTTTCTTTTCTCATATGTAGGTCAGCGCAACAGTAAGTAGGTAGGCGCACTGAGTAACAACTTGAACTCAAGTATGTCCTAAATTATTTGATTTATAATTAATTAATAATATTAGAATATATTTTGTTGCTTTACAATTCACTAGCCAGTTAGTATTAGTATTAACTATTGATATTAAAAAAACTATTCAAAAACTTCAATCTTGCTTGCCATGCTTGACTGTTTCTTGTTACTCCCAGGGTTGTGTTTCAGAGGACATCATTCTATTAACTTCTGCTGTGAGGTCTGTATGCAGCAGACATATGAAATATTCAACATATTGTGGTGTCTTTATTGTGTAACTATTTTAGATATACTCGTATTCATGCATATTTAATGCTTGCACATTTCATCCTATACCCTTGACGCTGTAGAAACTTTCATGGCGTGTAGATTTTTTCATTGACCATCTATGTTGTCTACGTGATTTTGTATTTTCAAGCTTTTCTTGTTATATTAACTGATTTTTCTTATTGCAGACCTATGCTAAGTAATTATAACCGTATAGGTACTGTTTCTAATACTGTGGCTTAATTTGTGATTGGATTTATTAATAGTCTGTGATTGGATTTGAAGTAAATAGTTCACTTACCCATGCTGGCCACTAGTTCATTTACTCATGCTGGATACTAGAATATATTATTATTATAGAATATTATATTATTAGAATAATATTGTATTACTATAATATTATATTATTATTAATGAGTATAATGAAAAGACCATCATTGATGGTTCGTAACCACATTAGGTTTGGTAGCAGCGTAACAATGGATGGTTAGCAAATTTGAAAGCAATCAACATTGAAACGATGTGTTTGATAAGTAAATTCATTTAGTCGAATTGATGTATGTGTCAACAGCTCTCAGTATTGTCAATTAAACGAATTCTCTGGTCTGAAATGAAACTTCAAATTTTTCTTTTAAGCAGGTTCTTCTGAAGACCAGAGAATTCGTTTTATTGACAATTTTCTTATTAGTTTTTTCAATAGATCGAACAATATTTTTCGTTTGCACTGGCAAATCGAAAATCAGCGTACCGATGGACGTTTTTATTTTTTTAACAACGTTTCGAATGTATCAATCATTCATTATCAAGTTACAAGACACATTGAGTGATGAAATTCGGATCGACATAAGCATAAAATTATGTAAATAGGATACTACTCAAGAATCAAAATTGTTAGGAATAATTATATAATCACAAAATAATTTAGAATCAAAGCACCGAAAATTTTTTTGCAGGGGGTTATTGTTCATTACAAGATTTTCTTGTATTATAATAGATTAGTAGTTTAATTTTATTATTAGTTATGTTCACGATGTTGTTGTGAGCGATGGAATGAAGGATCCGCTCATCTGCTTTATAACCGTTGGTCATTTTGTTCTCGTAATAGATGGTTGTCTTGTTTGTTGTTTGCTTCAGTCTCTGGTGCGTGGTTTAGTTTTGGTACATTCAAAGTTTCGAAATTTCTGTGTCAATGGTTCTATTGGCAAATCCGTTATTGACCAGGAGTCTTTTGCAATTTTAGCTCCGTATTTAAGTCAATTTCAGATGAGCAGGTCTTGAGAGCGGCGTTCAGGACTCTCCCGACATCGGTTGGTTTACGGTATACTTTTGTGACGAACGAATTATTTTTAGCTTGGACTGGTATATCTAAAATATATGTATATTATTATATTATGATATTATAATTATATTATAATATATATATTATTATAAAATGGCAGAATTTTCTTGTTTATATGCGTACAATAATATTAATGACCAGGGTATGCATTATAACTTTCATGGAGCCGAACAGTTCTTTCGATGACGTTGGTAGATTAAAAGGCAGATTTAGCAAATAATAATAATATATTAACGACGTTTCGAATGTTGCAACATTCATTTTAAAGTTAAGAGATGCATTGAATAGTAAAATTTTGGTGGACATAAGTACATAATACACGTAATTAGGATACAACACAAAAATTTCGAGCCGTAAAGTACCTCCGCAAACAATCTCAAATTTGTATGCTTAAATTTTGCTTCAAAAAAGGTTGTAGACTTCTTCATCATTTGAACTACATTGGAGGAATTGGACTAACAACTGCGACATTAAGTATTACTAACAGGCAACTTCATTTCAAAATCATTGATTAATTCAAAAAGCTTGGTGATGCTTTTGACTACAACGTCAAGCTCCGGACTATCCGTTACAATGGACCCTGCAAAAAAGCGGGAGTTCTCCAAGAAGCCGATGTAGACTGTAAATTTTAGTAGTTAGTAGTTAGTAAGTAAAAATTTTAGTTAGTAATTTTGGCTCCAAATGCTGTCGGCCTGCTTGCGGTTGGAGCGCGGCCCGGATACGGGCCCAAATCGACAGCAAATCTCTCCCCGTCCCCCGAAAGGGGGACCCGAAGCCCATGTTTTTTGGTGCTGCCGGCCTGCGGCTCCCTGACTTGGCTGGCCCCAGAACTGGGTCTAGGCCCCGCCTCGCGCCATGAAGCGAGGCGGGGAGGGTCAACAACAACACAAATGTAAATTTTGCTTCAAAGAAGGTTGTAGACTTCTTCCTAGTTTGGGCTACACTGGAATAATTGGACCAACAACTACGACTTTGGGTATTTCAAACAAGCAACTTCATCTCAAAATTATCGATGAATTCAACTGGCTTGGTGATACCTTTGACAACAATGTCAAGCTCCGGAATATCCAAAATAATGGACCTTGCAAAAAAGCGAGAGTTCTCCAAGACGCCAATGTAGTCTGTAAATTTTGCTACAAATAAAGTTTTAATGTGTGTGTGCGGTGCCACTAGGAAAGAGTGGAAAAGAACAAGAGGTGGCGCAGAGTGGCCAGAAAGAAGAAGGAGAAATGGAAAAGACAGTAGGAGACGAAAAGGCGCATTGCGCATAATTGGGTTGGCTGTAGGTGGTGGGGGGTATTTGGGGCTAGGGAAGGGGGGGGAACCCGTCGGGGCTTTGGATGCGTCCGAAAGGTAGGTGATGGGGGGATGGTGGTTCACCATTTACATATATATACATGCGTTCTCGCTCTTTTTTTATATTTTTATTTTTTATTTATTTTTTTTGTATTTTTCTTGATGAATATGATGAGAGGGGATGATGACAATGGCAATCGATGATGATGAAGATGAAGGTGGTAGGTGAGTCGCTCGAGACTCGGATAGAGGTAAGGGGGTTGGTTGGTATATTCAAAGTTTTTAGTCGAGTCTTTACTGTACGTCACTCTCGGTGAGTAACGTCAGTCCGTCAGTGCGATGGTGTCATGAGTGTATTATAGTGTTGCGTTGCTTTGGACCAGCTACACCCATTCGCATTATGAACAACTTCGTCTGGGTGCAGCATGGTCCGCTGTGTAGTTATTTGTAGAGAGGGCATGAGTGTTTAGTGTTGTGTTGTTTTGGGACCAGCTACACCCGTCCGCATTATGAACAACTTCGTACGGGTGCAGCATGGTCCGTTGTGTAGTTATTTATAGAGAGGTGGAGGAGGGGGACCTAGTGCGAGTAAAAGTTTTAAACTTCTTCATCATTTGGACTACATTAGAGCTATTGGACTAACAATCACGACATTGAGACCGTCTCACCTGCCACCTACAGTCTGGAGGAACCCACCAGCATCGTCATTGTGAAGTGCATGGCGCCCGACGATGGCTGGCCGATCTCAGCCATCTGTTTTTAAGCTACCAGAGTTGTCTGAACTTTGAGATTGTTTTCAGAGTAATTTTCCGTTTAAAATTTCCTTTTTGTATCCTATTTATATGTATTATGTACTTATGTCCACCAAAATTTCATTTTCAATGCTTTTATTAACTTGAAAATGAATGTTGATACATTCGAAACGTCGTTAAATATATTATAAATCTTTGCTGATACCTTCCTTTTGATCTGTTAACATCATCTGAAGAGTTTTAATTGATAATCCACATAATTTTCAGCCAACGGGCCACATCTCATTAATATATGCTAGGAAATGTAACAACATTACCTTAGCATTGTCGTAGTAAATAAGGTACTTTCTGATAAAAAAATGTCAACCCACTACACACTCTGTAGAGAATAATTTTATCACCTTGATATTGATCGTCTGTTTTGGAAGCATTAGCCTCACTGACTTCGATTTCTTAAACGCCAGCACGTCCCGCGAGCTGAAATCTTTGCACCCTGGCACACAATTAATCATTCTTCGAGTGCTGAATCTATTTTGATTGATGAGACGATAGATACTGTAAAGAATTTTTTACTGAACTTACTTCTCCCGTGTGCATAAGGTTGGGACCTTTTAGGTAAGACCAGATTTGATAAGCTAAGGCAAAATTCAGTTCTTAACCAAACTTGCCCTAGATTGTTCAGCAATTTGGTACGTTTTCATTTACTTATGTTGTGATCCTTTTATTGCTTGTTAACTCGATTATTTTCTCTATATTGTTTTTAATTTCGAATAACCTCAATTTTGTGTTCAAATTGTTCATTCTTTGTTTTCAAAAACCGTTACAATCCACAACGAGTTTTCATTCCGAACAATCCCTCGAACGAAGAGCCATGTTCTTTATATATATATAGATACTCTTACAATTTAATCTTGTGATAGAAATAGTATCTACAGCCTGAAATCAGATGCACATCTCTATCAACTAATTCATTACCATAAGAGTAATGAAATTGATTAGATGGTATAATTCGTTCTCTACAAAAAGTTGTAGATGTATACAGTAAAATCATTATTACATGCTGCCATCGAAATCTCAACAGCCATTGATTCTACCTCTGTCTCCACTTATTCCTGAAACAACGCCTTAGTCAATAATTAGTCAGGAAGCATGTTCCATGGAATTAATTTTATTATGTTTCATCCATCATTCCTGTTCACCACGTTTGTGCACAAATGTTGAACTTGCAAATTATTCCTGGAATTTCACTGCTTCAGGTGTTTCAAAATCAAATAATATAAACTTATTTACGGCTTCCTGAATAATGAAATTAAATAACAAAGTATGGGCTTGCTTGCTCATTTCAGTCTATCTAAATCTCGCAGGTATTTCTTTAACGTAATTTGAGTGTTTGTTAAACACATTACACAAGCATGCTCTTAATAAAAGTGGTTGTTAAACACATTACACAAGCATGCTCTTAATTGGAGTGGTTGTTAAACACATTACACAAGCACTGTCTCTTATACACATCTAGATGTGTATAAGAGACAGGCAAATCTCTCTGTACACAAGACAAGAGAAATATATTGTATCAATTGAACTCTTATTGTGATTTCTTTATCATTATCAGTTAATCAATCCACTTCTTAATCACTGGGATAAATGAAAGGATCATTTTTCAAATAGCGATGCATTTATCGNAAACAAGGAAAGAGTTTAAACTTTGAAGCTAGCTCAAAACTTACTCTTACCTCTATTTTAAATTCAGTTCACTTCCAAATTTTAGAACAAATTTTCCAATCAAGGTAGGTTATTTCCTTCCCATTCTACGACTCGCAAATTTCGCTATATTTTAATTCCTTCCCATTTCTTTCATATTAAACCATTACTTTTTCACGTTTAACACGTGAACCATCAGAACATTCCCGAAAATTCAAACTTGCTTTATCGAAAATATTCATCCAGATACTCTTCAGATGTCATTGAATTCCCTGCTTGTCATTCTTCATCTGACAACAGCAACAGTTCACCGAAGGCATTTTCGTGCACTTTAACAACACCTTTGTCTGCCACGACGAGGCCCACCTCCACATCCGCCACTTTGACAGGTTTCGGTTATTAAACAGTCTTCTCGGAACACTCCTCGAGGTCTATTTTCACATCCGCCAAGTTGACAGGTTTCGGTTTTAAATAAGTCCCGTCGGAATGCTCTCAGAGGTCCACCTTCACATCTGCCGAGTTCCGAGGTTTCAGTTTTTCAGTAGTCTTGTCGCAACGCTACTCGTGGCCTGCCTCCTAATCTGCCAAGTTGATAGGTTACGGTTTTAAAGTAGTCTTGTCGGGACGCTACCCGTGCTTTGCCTCCAAATTCGCCACTATTTGCGTGTGGTTTTAAAGAAAACTTGCGGCGACGCTACCCGCTGTCTGCCTCTAAATCCGCCAAGTTGATGGGTTGTGGTATTGTAACTATCGCCGTCGCTGAAATAGTCTTAAAAACTAAGAAGTTTGATGATTCTTCACAGTTAATTGTTGGATCCCGCGGTCGCAATTTGTATCGATGCCCACTAGCTGTAATTCTCAAATGATCGGCTGTCATATTCGCACAGGTGGAGAATACGCTCACAAAATTGCTGGAAAACTAAGTTTAATTCGTAGCTATTGATAACAAATCGTTTCTCTTAGTCCGTTTCTCTTATTAGTTTGAAAGCTACAAGGCAATGAAGCAGGAATGTAACTGTGAAATATGCAAAGTGGATAAGGTCTCACTCAACCCATGATTTATAGGATCATTGTAATATAGAGCTTTCAAGTTTTAATCAATGCGGATTTCGGCATAATGCAACGTAGAAATGCAATTAAATTTAAAGTAATTTACTATCTCATAAGAGAAACTAACAACTTTTGTTTAATAACAAGGAATAACAAGGAAAATAAAAGGCATATATTACCAAGGGTTTATATTCAGATGAAAATCACATATTTGATATGGAAATTTCAGAGCAATCCATAAATCAGTCAATATTAGGGCAAATAAATATGATCAAATAGTGTTAAAATATAAAGCCAGCATGCGCTGTTGAGGCATAATGCACAAAATTATAGATAAAATAAGTAGGCTAATCAAATTAAACTGAATGCCGATCACCACGCAGGAAGATCCATCAGCTCACGGGACGGCGGCACTCAGCAGTTAAGCTTGCAGCCACGGATGTAGGAGGACAAGTTCTTGCCTTTACATTTGTTCTTCCAGCCGTACCAGGCGTTGAAGCCGTGGCCGCGCCCAAAAATCGTCTTGGCGCACTTGATGTCGTCCGCAATATTGTTGTCCTTCAGTTCTAAATTAGAAAAAAATAACCATAGCTTACGTAAACAAATTAAAAATCAGTTAGTTACACATTGAGTGAAGAAACCAATTCAATAAAGTGAAATAAATACGGGCTTCCATGAGAAGCCCCTTTTGTGTTTCAGAAAACTTAACTAAAGCTACAATTCTTTTATTGGGCCCATTTATAATTTTTTAATTCGCTAACAGGTAGAAACTAATGTCTAATTAAGCATAACATTTTCTCACTATAACAATCGATGTTGCAGACGTTCTTGCCTGTGCCCGAATTACACCAATAATAGTCGTTGATCTGCGCAGAGGAGGAAATTATGCTCCCAGACGAACATATAAAATTGTCAATAAAAACTATTTTCATCAGAACCGAACAAGTAAAACTAGGATTCATCACTTACATTAATTTAATCGCATTGTACGTCACTCCGCTCATCATTTCCTTCTGACCTTTCCTTTAGTTCCGCTTGGTCACTTTAATTATGATACCCTGTCAAAATTTTCGTGCCGATTAAGGTCGTTTTAGAGGAACTATATTCGGCTTAGGGGTGAATCAGGCGCAAGTCGGCCACGTAGGGTGTTTTGCTTCTATTTAGCAGCCTCTTTTGGAAGTCAATTGCCCGGTATAGCTTTGAGTATATGTCTGTTTGAGCGGCTAAAGATGTAGCTCTTGCAGATATGCTTTAAATTAAAATTTCTAAGCATCCCTACGGCCAACAGCTTAATTTATGTAGATTGCATAAGAACGTTTGTCGTAATTTCGACAATAATAGATTTCATGCGGAATATGCTCTAAATCAGTTGTTATTTGATCATTTCATTGCAATAGGTACTTCTCAAGTTCTCGTCGGCAGGCGACATTCATCATGACCACGCATTTGTGTGTTCAAGATTTTGGCTGCGGTAGAAATTTTCAACTTTTGGCATGTCGACACGAGCATGTTATTTAAGATGCTCCTGTTTATATGCTTAAGGTTCTAATTTCTAAATCAACACGTCAACTGGATCTATTTGTGTAGACGAAACTCGAAAGTTTATCATTGTCTACGATGCTACCTAACCGACAGACAACACTCGACACCACTGGACGGGCCAGCTGACCAGCGGCCATAATTTCAAAACTCGCTAAGTGAACTCAAGTACTTACGCTCTATTTTCTTGTCTATGATTGGTGGATTTTGCTTGAAAAACCGTCAATGATTGACTGATGAACTTACGATCTCTTAACTTTTTTTGAAAGTATAGGCCCAGGATGGAACAGGTTGCAGAGCGTATACCGATTATTCGCAATTAAGTTAGTTGCTTTTGTTATGTTCTATCTACTGTATTTCGTTGTATCATCAGGCTTCATTATGGAGTTACATTCAAGTATAAGGATGAATTTGGTTATTTCTGAAGAACTACAAATTATACGAGGATAGATTCAGGAAATTTTCATCGAGCTCAGCAATATTGGAATGGTATTAGACGTTAGAAATGCTTCTATTCATCATTTTGCAACAGTTGCAAGCAGTATTTTCAGACCCCGGTAAAGGTTTTTGCTAGACAAATGGTTTCTTCAACAAAAGAACTATTCAGTTTTGGGCGTATGTCTGCATGCGTGAGCTTATTGCTCAAGCAGAAGATAGTTTATGAACTATCGATAACAAGGAGCCCCTCTGTGAGCAAAACATCTGAATTGAAGATTTCCATAACAATCGTATATTCTGCTATTTATTTGATTGTTTCTCCAGGAATTTAAAGTTTGCAGCAGCCGACGATGGATGCAGAAAGATCCTAATTTGCTATTAAGTGTGAGCAACTGAAAGCTGCAATCAAGTTAGTGCAGTAATTTTATTTTATTAAGATTAAAATGTGCTTCTCCATTCTATTGTATGGTCTTTCTTTCGTCAATGGACGCAGAAATTCGAGGCCCTAACAGAACCGTTTGCTCGATAAAAATTAAATGTGACGAAAGTTACATGACATGAAACGGCGAATAATTCAACGATTATTTTAAACAAAACGTTGTTCATTCAGCAGGATATATGGATTTAATAGGAGAAATTGGCTTTACTTGCATAACCTCGAATCAGTGCTATTGATGTATCGATTGAATTTTTTTTATTTGCGATTATTGTCGTCATTTCTAACCACGCCATGTCATAATAGTTACTAGCTGTAAGCGTCTTTGCATGAAATATAGCCTCTGATAGACTGTGCTCTGATCTTAAAACTAAGCGAGTAATACTATATACACTGCACATAAATATAACGTACAGTGGTTGAAATGCCCCTCCCTTCCCCCATAAAGGGGGGAAAGGAGGGGGCGTTTTTTTAAACGCATTTTTCAGATTCGGCCGTGTCTGTCCCGAACGTATCAGGTACCAAATACGCGCGCCCCACGATCGCCCCAAGCTCGACAGGAATATCATAAGATTCTATTTTGGCGCTTACTTCGCTCCGGCAACCGGAACCTAAAGCGGACATATAACTTCTAATTTACACTGCCATAAGAACTTGGGGCGTCCGTGTGCCAGCGGCTGACAGGTCTTCGAATTTCGATAGGGTAGGTGTGCAATAATGCAATTTGGATCATGTGATGGAACTGTTTTCTTCCAGACATCATTCTCTGCCTCTTAACAAAGTTTAGGCCCACAAACTACTACTTAAAATACGATCCTCTTTTAAAATTCTGACAATTGTTCTATTTTTCCTTTTAGTTGGGTCTGAAAGTTTACCCAGTTTGCATTAATTTTATATCTGCAGTATGCCTCCAACTACTCAGTGAACGAACCTTCAAGATCTTCGTACATCATCAGTAAATTTCATAAATATATCTGTTGTCAATGATGATGATTTGTGTGAATAATGATTTAATTCTCGTGCTGGAAGTTTTTTGTTTTTGTAGTTGCCAAGTGCTCTGAAATGTCAACGATGTACGAATTCACTGTTTAACTCATTTTTAAATCCACTGACTGTAATATAATTCATTTTGACATTCTTGGTATGTCTCCCAACTATCAGGATAAATTCCTTTTCTTCTTATCCCAAATTTTCAGTAAAACCAGCAGAAATCAATTAATTTTATGCATAATTTACGTTCTAAAACCTAATCTTCAGTTTTATTTCGTAAACTATGTGTAATGTAGGGCGCAAAGCCTCCGTTTTCAGAGTTCCCTATATGATGACCGCAACTGCTGAAGAACTAGAAAAGACTTCGTTGACTTATGACTATGTCTGCTATTAAAATTCGACCACCATTATTGCTTCAAAATTGGTATTGTATTTTCCAACCGCTATCCTATAATCGGATATATATTGGAATTCTTCCTTAACAGGCAAAAGGCGTATTAGGTGTCATAATGACACGACAATATGATTTACCTGGAACAAGCCATAGTCTTTACTTGGACGACTACCCCCGTTTCTTCCAACAGCCGCGGTATTGAAGGAGCTCTCGTGCTGTACCAGACACACCCCTGTTCAGAGAGGATAGGTAGGGAATTAGTTTTATAAGTGGGATATTTTTAATTGCAAAGTCATGCTACTGTCATACTCTTGATGTTGTGAAACTTTCCTCAGTTTTATTATGGAAACAAAATACGCAGAGATTTACTCACAGTCAGCGAGGCTGCTCTGCGCAAAGCCGTAGACGCATTTCAGCTCCCTGGCAAGCGCGCACCTCGTGTAAATTTTGCAGTGGCATGAAGCGCTCAGGCTGATCACAGCCAAGAGAACGGCGGCGAAGGAACGCATCTGCAAAATTATATACACCTTGAAATGAAGAAATCACTGTGGGCTCAAGATCTTATTAATTACGGTTCGTCATTTCAGTGTCATTAAAGCAAGTGTTATTTTGTGACTTTTTGAGACGCCACACCTTGCCAAACTAAAACCAAACTAAATGTTTGCTCTCCATAAATGAGAGAATGCGCTAAAAAGAGCCTCTCCTCAAAATTTTGATTCTGGTTGCCTGGTTAAGGTTACCCCTCATGTCGTTTGTCACTTCAGCTGTGAGGCATAGTTTATTATTTATTTGAATTTCCGGACAAGAATTTAATATACCTCGTAATTAACTTTTACCTCACAACTATTCAATTTGCATTGAACGTTCTACACATACTCATAGGTATGTGTTACTGCTATGGCACAGGCTCTCTGAAGCAACTGCTGAATTCCTGAAGTTGCACCCTGAATTAAATCCAAATTAATTGTATCGTCAACAAAATGCTCGTGACTTTTATACGACGTCGGGGATATGTTTGTACCTGCATTAATTTCATAATTTCAGTGCGCGATAATTTCTACTCAATGATGTTCCGGCAGCTTGCCGTGAAACAATTAAAATGAAGCAGCCTTATCATCCATCCAGTTTTGGGTGAATGATGGAAGCAAATAGCTCCATCATTTGGTAAGAATTGGATTTGTGATTTGGTTGGAATTTCGAAATTACATAAATCTCCTTTCAAGAAGCTATTATTATCCTATGTGGGCGCTGCACTTCTTCAGCTAGCATCTCCAATGGGAAAAAACAGATTGCTCAATATATAACTTGAGTAGAATGAATAACTTCTGTCTAACTATACCAATATTGTTAGTTGCAAGAGTTATCTATTCTGCAATCTTTATGCAATATTCGAAACATCGTATTCTATTTTATGTCTCTCAGCGCCAACAATATTATGTCCCAGTTCGTTTCAATGGAAGAACAAGCAATAAATTTTTTAATAAAAAGCATGCTCTTGTTTTCAATTAAACTTAACCGAATGAACATTGCCTGCACCACGTTTAGGACATGACAGCTTTCAAGTTACTTACGTAAGCGATGGCGGAGTACAGGAGTTAACTGCTCACTAAGGGTTCACCAGCTATACTATGAGATGCATGGATAACTGCTGAAATTTGACCGCTTATATATATGTAGAATTTGTCTGATCAAGCCGCCAGGCTCAATAAACCAAAGATATGAGGTTTTATAACAGTGTTGCTGGCGCATTTACGGGTGATGTCAACCCTATGTGACCTACTTAAGTCTCTCGGGCAACTAACTTTAAATAAAATATTGGCGCAGAGGCCATAAATAAATAACAAGTAAAGATAGAAGTATATTGGTGACCAGATTACAGTTTCAATAAAACCAGGGAATACAGGAGCATGGGCAGAAAATACTGTAAAAAGAATAAAAAAATAGTATAAATACCAAAGCAAAATAACTGAACTATAAACACAACAACTGGTCATTGGCACAACAAACATCTTGAATTGAGCATAATAGTGAATTGAGTATAGGCAACTGAAAAATAAACATTAATAATTCAGGAGATCCGACCAGCCAAATCTTATCATGAACAATCGGTCCTACAACTTACTTTGGCCAGTGGCGCCGAACATGACAAGACCGAATGTTTATTACGGATCCTAGAAGTCAGTTTCCTTTGCCCTAAAATGGTACAAGAAATCCATTACCCTAAAATTACAAAAATATTGATACAAAGTAATCAAGAATAAATTATGTATGAGTGGATTTATTTTGCGATAAAAGCAATAAGTAACCCGGTTACAACAGTGGATGAAAAATTTTAAAAGTTTTGTGCAGTGTACACCGCAGCTTGTGCAGTGTAAACAAGAAATCAAAAGAATTAAAATCTTATTAATTTATTTGCTTTCCTTTCGGCCCTTTAATATTCAACCCATCCGTACACTGTTAGAAAAAACGGTGAAAAACAGTCAGATAGCTGTGGTTTCTTGCAGTCCATTTCACGTTATTTGGCATAACGTGACAATAACTTCTTTGTTAAATTTAAGCGCGAGGTGGCGCCACAGTCTTTTTACCTGAGAGAGGAGCGGTAGTGGAGAAATTAACATGATTGACTATGAATAATATTTAAAATATCTCAAGCATTAAATGCTCCGTATATATTAAAATTGATATCCAAACCAATTGAACAGGAAATGATCTAATTAACTCCTTGACCTCGGCTGCTGAATCATAAAAACTTGTAAGTGTTCTGAAAATTGTTGATGATGAGGAAGCTCGCATCGAATCAAGGGGTTTTGAATCCAGGAAATTTTTAGAGTAGATGTTGAATAGTGGTTGAAATTATACGAAGAGAACTTTCAGGTCTGAAGGTTTTACCATTAGAAATTTCTTTGAATTTCCTGATAGTTTCATATGATATTTCTTGAAGAAACTGATTTGAGAAGAGCTTGAGTTTTATCTATAGGCAGCCATCGCCGTACTAGGTGTGATAGGAGACGCTAATACCCCTCATAAAGTCAGCGTAGCATAATAAACTCGTTATCATGCTCGTAAATAACACGTTTTGTTCGCAGTGAGCAGCTCTAGGGATAATAGTACGAGCAGCTCTAGGGATAATAGTAAGCCGCGACCTGATGTGAAGAATTTATTGTTTGATTATGTAGATTAGCAACATCGATGTAAGCTACAGTAATGCGAACCTGAGGTCACATAATCCAGCGTGCAGTGCAATCAAGTAGGTTCCTCATTCGCCATCATGAAAAAGCATTCATTACAGCTCGAATGAAGCATTCATCGCAGGACGAATGAAGCATTCATCGCACCTCACATGAATTTTTTTTATTACATATGAATAGTTTCACGCATAAGGCAGTGGCTCCGCGCTACTCATTATTTCTTGTAATACGTAAGATATTATGCCAGTATGAGTCTCAGCGTCTGCCTCCTCAGTAGTTTGAATAAACCTACAAACCTTTCTTCCTTTAATTCAACCCTTCGGAATTGACGTGGTCCTGTGGCCAGGATGGTGCTGTTGATGGTGCATCATCGCAGTGAACCGAACGTTGAAGTTTTTACTGCTGTTAAGTTTTTCATGACGGTATGCCGCGCGTTTAAGAAGATAGGTCATAGAGTGACGAAGATGCGTAAAAGAGTCCAGGCATTTCTAACTGATGACGTCCAGCGGTATGATCGAGGACCTTCAAGTTTTCCGAAGCGAGTTGTGCAAACAACTTGACTCTGTTATCCGCCTTGATGAGAATGTGGTAGATCTCATCGATGCTGTGGGTATTGATAAGAATGTTGTAGAGGCATCAGTCGGAAGGCATCAGTAAATCGTTCGGATCATTAGACAACATGTTCTTTCACCGGTATTTTGACTGCGGATCAAACCGACTCATACTTGCTTACGGAGATCTCTGAATCTGAAGATGTCGCTGAGTATATGCCAATGTCGGGTATAATTCCGGATGCGATTGTGAGAGCAAAGCAATATGAAGACGCAAATATTTCTGCTCTGAAACAATGCATTGTAGAGCGTGTGGCTGCGAAGAACTGTTATGTGAGGAGATAACAGCCATTTAAAAAGGACTGGAATAAATTTAGAGTACCCAAATAAAAATTAAAGGTGGCGCATCGATGATTATAGGTGGCGATGGTAGATTATAGGTGGCGTACCGGTGGGTGGCCACGCCAGTCAAAAATCACCATTGAAACGCTGATAAATCGAGAGGATGCGCGGGCATAGGTGGCACTCATC